AAAGCTGGAAATTGTCCTGGGCAGGAAGGGGGTACAAGTGCTCTGTAGGCAAGCGGTTAAATAGCACCAAAAGAAAGCTCTATTTGTCTCAGAAAACAGATACGAATTTCATATGGGTACAGTGTTGCATGAAATGCAATTGTCATAGTGTGACAGAGCTGAAAGCTGAAAATTGGCCTGGGCAGGAAGGGGGTAAAAGTGCCCTGTATTGAAGTGGTTAAGTTACATAAAGTGGGTTATAGCACATGTAAAATATTCCCTGTCCAGGAATAGCAATTTACTGATTTATTTCACTTATTGCTCAGGAATGTGCTATAAAATTTAAATAATTCATATTGCAATTATATATGTTCTATCAATTATTTCATGTAAGCGGAGTTTCCCCCTCAGCATGGGGTTTGATTCTCTCTCCAGTAATTGATATGAGGATGTATGGATGAATATAGTGATTAAATTAACCTAGATATATTTCAATGCAGCAGGCTGACAAAGAGCTCTTCTCGGGAAGATTCTGCCACAGGAACCCACCGCTTTAATATTCACAGAGCAAGCCATCAAACCAGTATGTTTAAATGACATTTGTAGCTCATTTGTACGCCTTCATAATGTCTCAGAGGTAAAATCAGGTGCGAGCACTTGAGCGGTAATGGTTTATTAATGTTCAGTCTTATTAGCTATGATTTAGATGAATGAGTCAATTTATCTGCATTCCTGAACGAATTTCTTGCTCAGGATAAAGGAAATGGAAAAAAAAAAATATCATCGCATATTTCTTCTCATCAACATTTGTTATTAGGTTGATGGCACAGTGACTGCTTTTCAGCCAGCTTGGTTTAGCAGGATTAGTCCAGCTGATGATTCTTGAATGGCAGGCTAGCTACTCATTCCTATGAGGAAACGCACACTAGTGTGTCAGAGCACTTGCCGTTCTGGCCTTTCTGGTGGAATTATCGCAATTCTTTGCCTTGTGTCTAAGGAATTGGTGCATATCAGCAGTCAGTGACCACAATTCCCACAGGAAAACGTTAGTGTTTTTTCCTCAGTGTTATCAAGGAAATGAAGAATTTGAAAAAGTTCCTCTCGGAACATAAAGCTTATGCCTTCATTGCCTTTGTCAAAAATGTGGTGTGATACAGAAAGATGCCAGCCAACTGTATAAAAAACACTCAAACCTATAGTATATGTTTTTGCAAAAATGACAAAATCATATTTCATTTCTGCTAGTATGTCTAATGTTCGAATTGAAAGGTTTGTTCAGGTGGCAATCCACTGGACAGTCATTTAGGGCCTGTACACACCGTCCACACACTAAACGGCAGTGGTTTAATGTGTGGGCAGCTCTCCGTTCTGGTAGTAGGTGGTACTGTGGTACACATTTTGCGGCTTCTCACAGCTCGCTTGTTTTGGTGAACATTATGTAAAGTTCACAAAGTGAAACTTCATTGGTGTCACTGTACAGCAGCACAGAGCATTGCGCTGCTGTACAGTGACAGGCAGTACTTTCCTGTGTGCTGCGATAAAATGCAGCATGTCTACATTTTATTGCAGCTCACATTATTATTATTATACAGTATTTATAAAGTGCCAATAGTTCACTCAGCGCTGTACATTACAAAAGGGGGACAGAACATGTGACAGAACAATACCAATACAAAGCAAAACATGAGGGGTCGAGGGCCCTGCTCTTTCGAGCTTACAATCTAGGAGACTTCACCGCAACTCCAGACTGCATTGCACTGCGAACAGGGCACACAGTAAACAATTGTTTTCTGTGTTTCCTTGTGGTGACTAGGAAATCCGCTGGTCACCACACCATTTGTGAACAGGCACTTCACAAACGTCTGCTGGTCTCAAGTGAATTAATCTGCTTGTCACTGTCTGGCACACACCAGCCGAATGTTCAGAATGCATGAACCTCTAGGTAGAGGAGGCACTTAGAAAGTGTTACTAAACCCAGGACTCTGAATCTACTATATCTGGTCTCCCGCAGTACACAGAACATGGAAGTGCAATTATTTTATTAAATGTAAACTGAGTTTTCGTTTTGCTCTAGAAAGATGCAGAACTGACCTCTGTCTGGACAGTGCTGATTGGCCCTGTGCTAGTCACATGCATTCTCCCAAGAAAAAAAAAAAAAACTCTTTAGCAATCCACACCAAACTGAGCATGTGCAGTGACTCCACAGGTAAGAGGGGGACAGTGGAAGAAGGGTAGAATCAGAGGAGTCAGGATCAGACATCCTTTTTACACAATGCAGAGGATTAACCCCTTCCACAGTGAGTATAACAAGCATGCTTTACTGCATCTACAGACTGATTTTACTGTTGTGGGTTTACTAACACTTTAATTGGGCTTCCAGAAGGAAAGGTATCCCAAAGTAGTGTGGTAATGTTCATGAGTAGCCCAAAGAGCAAGCAGGAGGTGGAGCACTGACATGGCATATACATTATTTGAAGATTATTAACCCTCCTTATACAAACACTGTGTTGGGAAAGGGACTGTTTCTGAGAAAATGATAACCCTCTATATGCAACTATAAAAAATGGGAAGGAATATTTGCTTTCCTGTGTACATCTTGTGGCAGGCAATCCAGTTTCTATATATGGGTTTAATTATTGTATATTTGCATATTAGCCTGGGTTGCCCTTTTAGCTCCCTATAGATATGGTACACAGTCTTGTAAGTTGCATTTTTCTGAAAAGCATTTGTCATGGCTGTTCAGCCAGCTCATACTGTGGGAATTCATTTCTTAGACAATTTATTTAAAGTGTTTGTAAACCCTTACATATACCCAGCGAAGTGACTAGCTGCAGATGATACACAGAGATGAAGCACATCCTCCTACATAAGTTGTACCTGTTCATCTGCAGCTTCTTTTCTCTACATCCGTTTAATGTGCAGAATTCATACAGCTTGTCTGACCTTTAAGAAAGCAGGGGCTGGAGAGCTGAAGTTAGACTCTGCAGAACGCAGTGAAAAGAGCTGTAAATACTGATTGGAAAGTAGGGACACACCTCCCTTCACACAGCACACAGGAACAGAGCTGAGGCAGTCAATCATAGGCTGTGTGCTAGAGCTCCCTCCTCCGTCACCTTTCTTCTTTTGGTGTCAGGAAAATCTGTCACAAGTGACCCATGCAGATAGGAGGAAGGAAGCAAGAGAGAGAAATGACACTTATGCCTGGTACACACAATGAGTGAAAAACCGAGTGAAAAACTGAGGAGCTCAGGAGGAGGTCTCTGTACTAATGCATGGTTAGTAGAGTGATCTCCCTGCTGAGCTATTGTGTTCTTACAGGTTGACTGTCCCCCTTCCCCCACCAGAACACACCAGTCACCGCTCGCAGCAATTGGCTGAGAGTGCTGATTGGATGTTTTCTGGCATGTCCTTTCTACAGAAGCCGGCTTCTGTTGGACAGGCTCCTGACACACAGGCTGAATGTCGCCTAGTTTTTGTTGAACCAGCTACTACGAGCCAATATTCAGCCCATGTGTACCAGGCATTGGTGCTCTGGACTGAGACAAATACACACTATACATGGATATGCTTTGTTCATATTTCATTTTGGAGATTAAAAACCACCTTAAAGCGAAAATCCAGGCACATATAAAAAGACAAATTAATGCAAATTCGTATTCATTAACATGCTCTTAAATGTATTTTTTTTTAATGCAGTGTAATAACTAGAATTTGACATGTTATCAGCCTCTTGCTGTTCCTTCTACAGCAGAGCTTAGACATGGGGAAGGAATAGCAGCAAAAGAAGTCAAATCAGTTGTGCTGCAGTGCAAGCAGCATTCTGATAGTAGAAGAGAGCAGAATGACAGTCTTCTGCTTCTCATTTCAATGTCCAGTCATAGGGTTGGGGTGGGAGGAGACCTGTAGGTGTGCATTGAGGCTTGGTTTACACTAGTGGGTTGGTTGTGGGTGCAGAAAATCGCACTTGTTCCCCCACCCACAGTTGAATCGCGCTGTTCCTGCAAGGGAACCAATAGGGAAACTGCATGGTCAAAAAGACCATGTGGATTCCCTGTGGCCGCTTTTTCAAAAAAGTGCATGCACCTTTTCCCTGCAGGAAACGCGGCATAGCAACCCATTCAAATGAATGGGCTGCCTCGCCCAAGCCAATGCGGGACGCACAGCCCATAATGGTGTGAACCTTGACTTACTGCTGCATGAGAAATATCAGAACTGGATGTCTATATATATACAAGTCAAATAGCTTGGTCATATGTATGTCATCTGTGTACTGTTTGCTTGGAGTTCAGTTTTAACCATACCATGAAGTTGCTGAGTAACTGCTGCTCGCTTTTCCTATTATACAGGGATATAGGAGATAACAAGAAGCAACAAATGGCTGTAGATTGTTCGTTCCTTTTTATTAATCTTTAATCTCCTTACTGCCAGGGGTACCGGCCTCTGTGGCACAGTAAGGGCATACACTCCAAACTAAAACGTGTAAACATGCAGATGACATGCAAAAAGCTACACACCTGGAAACAGTTTGGAAGATACTGTATGATGCAACCTAGCTTGAAGAACAGGTCTACCAGAGACCTTATACCTGCTTGCTAGCTTCTGAGAAATGTTACGTTAGATGTAGATCACCCTCTTTCATTAAGGAATGTCACTGATGTTTTTTATGTCAGAGGGTTGGTATTTTGATCTATTTATTTAAAAAAAAAACATTTTTAGGAAAATGTACACTATAAATAATTTGTCCAGGGTCAGTTTTCATGCTCCGGTGATAAGGTTTATCTCTTCAAGTCCCATCATCCCTCTTCCTATATCTAGCTTGAAATGTTGATGGTGACCATAGGCCTTTCTTTCCTCTTTTTCAAACACTTTTTCTGCTAGGTTAGTTCTCCCCCACAATGGGATTGCTATCCAGGTCAGTGTTTTGTGACCAGATTGGTTTGCTTCTGTTCTGCAAGCAGATTATTTTGTCCTTCTGTGTGGTCGTCCTTTTGGTTGGAGGAAGAAGCAGGACAGAGCAGGCACTATTGCCCACTGTGTTCTGGTTTCTCAGATGAGTGGTCCTCACATTCAGAGGTTTGCTGGGTCCTGTTTGGATTCCAGTCAGCCTTAGGAATACTGTGTTGGGAAGGAGATTGTTTTGGAGAAGAAGGGCAGGCTTCCACGGTGACCTCATGTGACACGCTCATGGAAGATCTCGGCGTGACAGGGAGACGCCCAGCAGTGCCCTCTGGAGCTCTCAGTCGTTGCATGAATGTGGTGACCCGTATGGCTTTCTGTGGTAGGGAAAGAAATGAACTCACATTAACACAACAGCTTACTGTTTTCATATGAAATTACAGGTATCCAAGAGAGGTGCAAGGAAAACCAGTGGCTATCCACAGCAAACCAATGAGATTCTTTGCTTCAGTGAAGTGATTAAACCTGACCTTGATTATGGATAACTACACCACTGTTTTGTTTTTTTTTTACAAAGTATAAATCCACCTTTCAGTGTATGTTACTTACCCTCCATTTGGCTTTAGCAAAGTTCTTCTCAATCTGAGCACAAACACCTTCTTTGAGATTCCTTTCAGAAGCAGCATTTCCTGAAATCCTTCAAGGGGAAAGATATAGGAAATTGTAGGGAAAAAAAAGCTCTGAAATTTTACAACAAAGGATTCTAGAATTATTATTTTACAAACAAAATATCTTTCACAATCATTTTGTTTAGGTGTTCAAAAAACACGAGAATAAAATCAGTTTGTATATGTAGTAAAGCATACTCATTGTGTAAAAAAAGCTGTTTGATCCTGTCTTGTCTGATCCTCCCTTTCCTTTAATGTCCCCAATCCATCTGCTATAATACAGAGCAGCAGCGGCAAGTCTGCACATGCTCTGTTTGATGTATATTGTCAGGAAGGTTTTTTTTCTTTTACTTGGGAGGCTGTCAATCAGCGCTGTCTGGACGGAGGGTCAGGGGTCATGCAGGCTCATAGGACAGTTAGAGGAGAATGAAAACTTCTCCTACAAGATTAACATGTGTCCTCTCTCTTTTCCTTCTACTTTAGCGTAGGCTGTCAATCAAGATCAGCATGCAGGCTAGGACTCAGTTAGAGGAGACAATGAAAACTTCTCCTACTCGGCTGGACGCTGACGCTGATAGAAGTCACAAGACTGCTCTAACTGCTGATGAGAAAAGGTATTTAGCAGTTTATATTTACTACAATAATTGCATTTCCATGTTGTGTGTACTGTGGGAGACCAGATATAGTGAATGCAGGGTTCGGGGTTTAGTAGTAACACTAAGGTTTTTGTGTTTTTTTTTTGGAGGAAATGAAAAAGATCTGCTGCAATACTCAGCCACTTATCTTTTCTAAATTCATTGTGTATCATTGACCTGCACCAATATTTCATTTGATTGCTGCAAAGAAGAAGCTGAATGACAGACAGTTGACTGTATAGGCTCAATTCACCAAGATGTAACATGCACATTATCTACCATAACGATTATTATTTACATCTGTCATTTCTAATAACAGGACCATTATAGCTTAGTGCATTGAGCTTTACATCTAATCCTTCTAAAACATATCATTGCTGTGTTTCCATTATAGCAGGTTAGCAATAAGTAAGTTCACTTGAAGAAGAAGAAAAAGTGTTAAATGCAATATTTTATAAATTCACTATAACCCACATAACTGGCGGAAAAAAAAAAAAACAGTGTCCTACCTTGCTCTATCACAACATTCTATTCTCTCTTAAAATTGTGCCGGCCAAGTTATAAAACACTGATATACTCCCACTATTTATTTCAATGTACTTTATCTTGGTCTGATTCCTCAGCTTGAGAGTTAGGGGTCAGAGATCACCTGACATCCAAAGTCGCTGCACTGTGAATAGGCTGATTTTACATTTGTTTTGCCATGAAAGCAAAGTAAACAACTTGTTATTACAATTATGAAAACTCAGAGACTGAAGCACTGTGTAGGGCCAGATAGTAGATAGGGTAATGCCCATACACACGATAAGAAAATCATATGAAATTTTCAGTACGAAGAGTGATTGTTCAATAATCTGATCGTTAGTACACAGCTTTCGAGGGTCATTAAGGACAGTTCATGCAACAATATCCGAAGAGATAAATGAAACATTTTTCTCATATGATACCAGAACAACGTTTTTTTGTTTAACCAGAACAGTAGTTGTCCGGGAAAAAAATAAAAAAATCGGAAGACCAAGACCAAACATGCTCAGAAACGAAAGAATTCATTACAATACATTACATCACTTCCAAAGTTGTATTCTGTCGTACGGGAATTTTTGGAACTTTAGCAACCTCTTCATTTTCGATACGAGACTAGCATCCAAAAAAAAAAAAGGGACAATCATTCATCCAATATTCTCCTCGTTTGTACGGGGCATAACTATAAGACTTCAACTGACCTCTGAGAATCAGACTCAAAGTAAGTAAAACTAAACTAGGGGGCAGACATACCTCTTCCACGAGTACGCCTTCACAGTTAGCATGTTAGACTTACAGTGTTACTAAACCCCGGACCCTGCATTCACTATATCTGGTCTCCCACAGTACACAGAACACGGAATGCAATTATTTTAGTAAATATAAACTGCTAAATACCTTTTCTCATCAGCAGTTAGAGCAGTCTTGTGACTTCTATCAGTGTCCAGCAGAGCACTGGTTAAAGCTTGTAGGAAGAGCTTTCATTTTCCCATGAATGTCTATGAGGCTGCATAACCCCTGACGGTCTGTCTAGACAGCACTGATTAGCCCTGTGCTGATCACATGCAGAAAGAAAAAAAAATATCTAGCAATACACACCAAACTGAGCATATGCAGCTTCCCCCAAGGCTCTGTTCTATCAGCAGATGGATTGTGAAGTCGAAGGGGAGGATCAGAGAAGACAGGATCAGATATCCTTTTTATGCAATGTTGAAGATTAACCCCTTGGGTTCCACAGTGAGTATAACAAGCATGCTTTACTGCATATACAGACTGATTTTTACTGTTGTGGGTTTAGTAACACTTTAATATTAAAATTCTTGCTTAAGCCCGGCCATGACAGGTCGAGTGCCCTTTAAAATGCATCAATCAGAAAGCAATATCTTTTTCAAAAGTCTCTTATGGAAGCTGCTATTTCTTGATTTGATCACCGCATGCGCTACGCCAAGATAGTGACTTCACTAGCAGTGACGTTTTAAACAATTCTGTTTCACAGCTCCAGAACAAGTAAGTGTGCCATGGGCTAGGGAATGTCTGCTCCCATCAGAGGCATCAGAGATGATTTGTGAGAGGTTCCCTTTGAAAAATATGAGGCAGAAATAATGTTTGAGATCTTACCATATATGACCCAATGCTTCCTGAGCTGTGATTCTCTGTTCCTGGTCCATCTCCATCAAACGCGATGCAAGATCTTTTGCTAGAAGAAAAAATACATCAACAAACTGTCATGTGAAGATTAGATGTGAAATCTATTACAGAGAACCATTCTGTTTTCTCTGCTTTTTTGGAAGTGAAACTTCAAAGTGGTTTTTTTACACATATTTACTAATAGGGCCATAATTTCATGATTATAGTTCATGCAGAATATGTTCATATTACAGATTAAATTTGTAAAACAGCTCCAGCTAAGTCAGTGGTTCTCAACCTTTCTAATGCCGCGACCCTTTAATACAGTTCCTCATGTTGTGGTGACCCCCAACCATAAAATTATTTTCGTTGCTACTTCATAACTGTAATTTTGCAGTGGGAGGAGTAGTGCCACGTCATTGGTGTCAGTGGGAGGAATAGTGCCCCATCATTGGTGCCAGTGGGAGGAATAGTGCCCCATCATTGGTGCCAGTGGGGGGAATAGTGCCCCATCATTGGTGCCAGTGGGAGGAATAGTGCCCCATCACTGGTGCCAGTGGGGGGAATAGTGCCCCATCATAGGTGTCAGTGGGGGGAATAGTGCCCCATCATTGGTGTCAGTGGGGGGAATAGTGCCCCATCATTGGTGTCAGTGGCCCCAGGTAGGAATAGTGCCCCATCATTGGTCAGTGGAGGAATAGTGCCCCATCATTGGTGTCAGTGGGGAGGAATAGTGCCCCATCACTGGTCAGTGGGGGGAATAGTGCCCCATCATTGTGTCAGTGGGGGAATAGTGCCCCATCAGTGGTGTCAGTGGGGGGAATAGTGCCCCATCATTGGTGTCAGTGGGGGGAATAGTGCCCCATCACTGGTGTCAGTGGGAGGAATAGTGCCCCATCACTGGTGTCAGTGGGGGGAATAGTGCCCCATCACTGGTGTCAGTGGGGGGAATAGTGCCCCATCACTTGGTGTCAGTGGGAGGAATAGTGCCCCATCACTGGTGTCAGTGGGAGGAAAAGTGTCCCCATCACTGGTGTCAGTGGGAGGAAAAGTGTCCCATCACTGGTGTCAGTGGGAGGAAAAGTGTCCCATCACTGGTGTCAGTGGGGGAATAGTGGGAAAAGTACCCCAACACTGGTGTCAGTGGGAGGGGGGGAGGAATCGTACCTCATCCTTGGTGTCAGTGGAGGGAGGAATAGTGCCCAATCGTTGGTGTCAGTGGGAGGAATAGTGCCCCATTGTTTGTGTCAGTGGGAGGAATAGTGCCCCATCGTTGGTGTCAGTGGGAGGAATAGTGCCCCATCATTGGTATTAGTGACACCAATGATTGGGCACTATTCCTCCCACTGACACCAATGATACTTACCTTGCTGACCCCTGCTCCAGCCTGGGCTTGCTCGCTCGCTTCCTCCCTCTCCCATGGTAGAGAAACTTACCGGTCAGCTGTCTTCCTTCTCCGGCCGCTCTCCTCCTCTTCACTCGCTCGATCTTCGCGGTGCCGCTCGGCTCCTCCTCTCCAAGCTCCACCTCCTTGCCGGTGATTGGCCGCCTGTGTGCCTCTCCTGAGTTACAGTTCCGGCGGCCAATCAAAGGCGAGGATTGATCCCGGGGGGGGTGTCCAGATGACAGGGGCGGCATGTCATCCCGCCCACACCTGGAGACGGATAGAGGAGCGGTGTCTCGGTACCTAAGACCATCGGAAATATGTGTTTTCCGATGGTCTTAGGTGACCCCTGTGAAAGGGTCGTTCGACCCCCAAAGGGGTCGCGACCCCCAGGTTGAGAACCGCTGAGCTAAGTGAATGTTTGCCCTCTGGAAGCTAACTATAGGCCAGACTGCAATCCACATTCTTGCTGCACAATTACTGTGCAAAACTAAACTGAAATACAGTACAAAGGGCAAATATTGTTGCAGACCCAGACAGGCAATTTTGCAGTTTGCAAACGGAGTCATTATTTAATGACTGCCTCTCTTAGCTTTGCAGATGTTGGCCAAGTTAACACTGGCACTGATATGCCTGGACTTTCTGTTCTGGTTAACAGGACATCATTCACAGCTTCATGCTCAGAACTGCATCTATGTTTTTTTCAACCAATGATGGTTTGCACGTTCACACATTTGTATACCCAAATGAATTTTGGTATATTCATTATTATGTGCCAGTAAAGAAAAAAAAAAAAAAGAATAAAAAATAGAAATGTTAAGGCTTTTTTTTTTCAATTTGTCCCCAAATCATTTCCCTAGAACCAGTAACCGTAACCTTAAGCTGAGCTTGTCACTAACTAAAGAGATGAAGTGTTCTCTAAGCAGTATAGTATCTGACACCCGGAGGATCCTTTGTGGGCAGATCACAGTATCCAATAATAGGCAGACTTAACAAGACTGCAGTGCTATATCTAATGACAGGCTCACTCTAAACCCAACCATATTCAAAACCTTAATACCATCTCTATCATTAACCTTTACCTAGCTCAATCTGCAAAGGAAAAGAAATCAAAACTACTACTTTCCCTGCAGCATAAGCCATACTGATTGGCTCTGGCATCATCCACTGATTAGTACAGCCCAATCACTGGTGTAGCACCCTGCTAGCGTAGGTAAATTTAGTTCTTCTGTAATTAAAGGAAACAGCTATAATTTGTCCTGGTCTGTTGAAGATTTCATAGACTAGGATTTGATAGCTCCCCCCGCCTCTGGAAGGAGCTTCTAGAGCTTATGGATGAAGATGTCAATAAGCAACCTGAATGTTTATCAGGTCCCTGGAGAGGAGTGTTCACAAGGGGGCTGCAATGGTGATAAATAGTCGGATGCACTGGAGAGCTGGGTTCTCTCTCCCAGGGACTGTACAGCTGTTTAGAGACAACCACGGTGTCAGGGCTATGGGCTTGGACGGACCTTATTGGAAGCTGATTGCAGCGCACCACCCACACAGAAGAATGCGGACCCGCCGGCGGATGCCATTAATTCTAATGGCATGCCGCCCGCACTGGAAATCGCAACCACACTGGGAACTGAGGTTCCTGTGTGGGCTGCGGTTTCCAAAGAAGTGCAGGGACTTCTTCCCTGCATGTCCCGGGGCACGGGAGTTCATTCAAATGAATGGGCTCATGTGCCCACGCAAAATGTGACCCGAACGGCCACATATATGTGAACCAGGGATTAAGGAAGAACCAGTTAAGGCCAGCAGCACCTGCAAGGGTAGTGCTACACTTGGATACAGGAGAAGACAGGGAAGTGGCAGGGAGCAATATAGGGTTAATGACCTTGCAATGCCATTTGTAGTAGCATAGAGATAACATACCCGATGCTGAAATCACATCCCAGTAGGGAGAATCAAATTCATATTCAGCAGCCAGAATTTTACGAAAGATTTTCCTGTTGTGACTTTCGCTGTCTTCTTCCTCATTCTCATCGTAGAATGGAGGGTTTCCAGAAAGTCTAGAAGAACGAGATTAAAAAGGTATGCTATTGTCCAAATACTGAAAAGCAATAGCATGTTCTATATATACACACACAATATAATTGTCCTTATTTCTGATGACAGCTGTCCATTAACTGGAATATATTAGAACTGTCACTCAGGTTACAAAAGGTAACAGGTGAAGCAAACAATGGTTTAGCATCCCAAGTAGCTCATTAACATCTGTGATGGGGAGTGCCAGAAAGTGAGACTTCGCTACAGTCATTTTTAATAGAAAGTAACTTATAGGTAACATGGCAGCCCCCATGAAATACAGTATAAAGGAAGGACATTTTTAAAGAACTTTCATTAAAAAAACATCTATCATAGTAGCATATACATGTTACCTCTTTATGTAAATAAAAAATGACTTTCAATTTCATTTCATTCAGAAGTCTCTGCAATTTTCTAAAAATGTTCGAAAACTTTAGTGCAATGTGTCAATTTGGAGGCATTCTATGCTGGTGTACAGAATGTTCCCAGAAATGTTTTTTCCTGCTTGTGTGATTAGCTCACTGATTTTCTCCGACGTTGTCTAAAGTGTCTGTGTTGTATCCTTCACTGGAAACACCTAGACTCAATAAATTTTACCATACAGCGTATCAGTAGTATGTTTACCAGATATTGAAGGTTCAAAGTAGAAGGGACAATTCCCTTTGAAGAAGAAAGTGGATATCAGTGAAAAAAAACACATAACTTATGTAAGTAACTCTTCTACTTACAGAATGAACATAACAACGCCGACTGCCCAGCAATCCACAGGCCGACCATATCTGTGTCGTGATACCACCTCTGGAGCTGGTGACAAAGATATAGATGATTCTGGCATTAATGGAAAGGATGTTGATGTACAAGGCTAGCAAGCAACCAGATTTTTCCTTTCAGTAGGCATTGCTGAGGATTATTGCACTTTACCAATACCTCTGCTTTGGTAAGAAGCACTGGTAAAATGTAGAAAGAAGGGAGTAGATCAGCGGTTCTCAACCTGGGGGTCGCGACCCCTTTGGGGGTCGAACGACCCTTTCACAGGGGTCGCCTAAGACCATCGGAAAACACATATTTCCGACGGTCTTAGGAACCGAGACACCGCTCCTCTATCCGTCTCCAGGTGTGGGCGGGATGACATGCCGCCCCTGTCATCTGGACACACCCCCCCCCCCCGGGATCAATCCTCGCCTTTGATTGGCCGCCGGAACTGTAACTCAGGAGAGGCACACAGGCGGCCAATCACCGGCAAGGAGGTGGAGCTTGGAGAGGAGGAGCCGAGCGGCACCGCAAAGATCGAGCGAGTGAAGAGGAGGAGAGCGGCCGGAGAAAGAAGACAGCTGACCGGTAAGTTTCTCTACCATGGGAGAGGGAGGAAGCGAGCGAGCGAGCCCAGGCTGGAGCAGGGGTCAGCAAGGTAAGTATCATTGGTGTCAGTGGGAGGAATAGTGCCCAATCATTGGTGTCACTAATACCAATGATGGGGCACTATTCCTCCCACTGACACAAATGATGGGGCACTATTCCTCCCCCTGACACCAACGATGGGGCACTATTCCTCCCACTGACACCAACGATGGGGCACTATTCCTCCCACTGACACCAACGATGGGGCACTATTCCTCCCACTGACACCAACGATGGGGCACTATTCCTCCCACTGACACCAACGATGGGGCACTATTCCTCCCCCTGACACCAACGATGGGGCACTATTCCTCCCACTGACACCAACGATGGGGCACTATTCCTCCCACTGACACAAATGATGGGGCACTATTCCTCCCACTGACACCAACGATGGGGCACTATTCCTCCCACTGACACAAACGATGGGGCACTATTCCTCCCCCTGACACCAACGATGGGGCACTATTCCTCCCACTGGCACCAGCGATGGGGCACTATTCCCCCACTGGCACCAGCGATGGGGCACTATTCCCCCCACTGGCACCAGCGATGGGGCACTATTCCCCCCCACTGGCACCAGTGATGGGGCACTATTCCCCCCCACTGGCACCAGTGATGGGGCACTATTCCCCCCCACTGGCACCAGTGATGGGGCACTATTTCCCCCCACTGGCACCAGCGATGGGGCACTATTCCCCCCCACTGGCACCAGTGATGGGGCACTATTCCCCCCCCACTGGCACCAGTGATGGGGCACTATTCCCCCCCACTGGCACCAGTGATGGGGCACTATTCCCCCCCACTGGCACCAGTGATGGGGCACTATTCCCCCCACTGGCACCAGTGATGGGGCACTATTCCCCCCACTGGCACCAGTGATGGGGCACTATTCCCCCCACTGGCACCAGTGATGGGGCACTATTCCCCCCACTGGCACCAGTGATGGGGCACTATTCCCCCCACTGGCACCAGTGATGGGGCACTATTCCCCCCACTGGCACCAGTGATGGGGCACTATTTCCCCCCACTGGCACCAGTGATGGGGCACTCCCCCCCACTGGCACCAGTGATGGGGCACTATTCCCCCCACTGGCACCAGTGATGGGGCACTATTCCCCCCACTGGCACCAGTGATGGGGCACTATTCCCCCCACTGGCACCAGTGATGGGGCACTATTCCCCCCACTGGCACCAATGATGGGGCACTATTCCTCCCACTGGCACCAATGATGGGGCACTATTCCTCCCACTGGCACCAATGATGGGGCACTATTCCTCCCACTGGCACCAATGACGTGGCACTACTCCTCCCACTGCAAAATTACAGTTATGAAGTAGCAACGAAAATAATTTTATGGTTGGGGGTCAACACAACATGAGGAACTGTATTAAAGGGTCGCGGCATTAGAAAGGTTGAGAACCACTGGAGTAGATAATGCCAATCATAAAGGCTTTAAGTGGAATATTGATAAAACTGTTCATGTTTGTTTTGTACAGAAAGTAGAGAAGTGTAAACGGTTCAAATCAGGCAGATTTAATGGTAAAATTGAACTCACATAGGTAGGTAACAGGTAGGCATGTCAAGTAATGGAGGTCCAGTGGGAAGATCAGGTCCTTTGGCCACGCTCTGGTTGTTATCCCGCCGCTCCGGTGTTGTCCAGGGCTCGGGGAGCAGCAGAGGGGCACAGGGAAGCTCGCAGGGATGATGTCACCGCATGGACCGGGTTTCCAAGATAAATGATGCAGTGACATCATCCCTGCGAGTCTCCCTGCGCCCCTCTGCTGCTCTCCGAGCCCTGGACACTACTGGAGCGGCGGGAAAACACCCAGAGCGCGGACAAAGGACCTGATGCTCCCACTGGACCTCCATCACTTGACATGCCTACCTGTTTACCTACCTATGTGAGTGCAATTTTACCATCAAATCTGCCTGATTTTAACCATCTACACTTAGAGTGGTGCTGCTGTCTCTCTGCTCTACCTGCATTAGGAGTATCTACAAGCTCTTACAGCCGACTGCCTCCTCGGACAAGTCCATACTACTATATGCCCCCCACTACAGATGGGCTTGGACACCAGCTCCACATGGACCTTCAAGTAACCACCATTGCTGATGGTCCATCCCCAAACGCTCACAGGGTAGATGCATCTTAGCGCTCCCTCCCCTCACTCACTAGTCCCTACCACAAGCAAATGATATTTGCTGATGTTCACCTAGTGTGTACACTTCCATTCTTCAACGGGGAATTTAAGCTTTAATATTGTAGTTCTTATTTATGATATGGCTGATTACATTTGTTAGCACCAATCCTATATATATCACTGTTTTCTAATACTTATCTATTTTAAAAAATTATCCTCCACTGGGTACCATTCCACTCTAACATCTCTCCCTATATTTCCTGCACATTCTATGGAAAAGTACCAAGATTCTGCTGTTTTCTTAAACAGATAATACATTTTAGAAGGATAATACTCAGCACCTCTCCCTGCACTGACTAAACCACACTCTAGTGTAATAATTACATCAAAAGATATTAATTTATCAGGGAAGAAGGGCTTCAACTTCTCACTAAGTCTGGAATATGCCCATCTCCTATCACAAGCCAGGAACTCTTTTACCAATAGAGGATCTGATATTTGACAGGTAGTGGCAGGGGAGGTGGTAGTGCTTAGTGCCAGGAGGCGGCAAGACAATCTCAGTAACTGGGACTAAGATTCAGGGTCCTTTCCAGGCACAAAAAAGTGAAATTGAACTGAATACAAATACAAGTACTTTAAGGCTTTAGAAGACATCTCTACTCTACCATCAATGGTAGTCATTACATTTTGGTAGACATGACAGGTTCTCTTTTAGTTAGCAATGCACACACTGTAAATTCTATAATCACTAGAGACTGTCTTTGGAATCTGTGTTTATCTTGCATGACTGTTTTTCCAGATACTTACCCAGATATTCTGGAGTCCCACATGGCTCTGTAATTTCTCCACTCTCAAAACAGGACAAGTAGAAATCCCGTAGGACCACTTTGGAGTGATTATTCTGATTGTAATACATAAGGTTTTCCAGCTGGGGGAGTGAGAAGCACACAAACAGTACATTAGACCATCTGCAAGTTCCGCATAGATCACTGTCTATTCTCTAAGAATATCTGTATGACAGGTATTGTACATCTCTACAGCCAGTGAAGTCTAAATCCTCCTGCTGCTTTGATATTAGAAATCTGAGGCCTGGACTGGTAACGTCAAAGAGGGTTGTATGTCTGGGAGTTATATTTTTGATTCCTTGTGTTGCAGAGTCTCTGTCCTGTTCTAACAACATAGCCCCTTAATGTATCAAACCAAAACGGTTTTCCTGTGTAGCCCTTGAGGTTCTATTTTTTAACACATTTAGGTAAAAAAAAAAAAAAAAAAAAAAAAAAAGCTCTCGTTTATAAGGCTATTCGAAGTCTAAGCATTAGGTAAAAAGGTCAGAATATTTAAACATAAAGTTGAGAAATAAAAATAGGAACAGCCATAGTTAAGCCATCTGAGTTCATGGCCCAGAAGAGGTTCCTCCTTTTCTGCATCACCCATTGGGGGACAAAGGAATTCAGAAACGGTCGGTTTATACTGCTACCTACAGGAGGTTAGGACATTGGCAAACTGTGAAGTTGAAACGTTGTAAGCCAGCCCCCGTATTATCCCTCCTCTACCTATCATGACTTAGTTTTTTGTTAGTGTTCAAGGAGGTTTAGAAACTTTTTCTTCAGCTCTGCTAAAAAAAAAAAAAAAAAAAAAAAAAAAAAAAAAAGTCTAGTTTTTTTTTTTGCTAACCTATCTTCATGATATTTTTATCTCAGTGACTTCAATCAAGATTTCCATGTTGCTGCTTGAAGTTAGTCTCTACGTAATAACTATGCAGATCAGCATATTCTCAATAGTAGGTTTGGAGGCTGTCCCCAGACACCGCTGAACTAGACAATTGCGGACTAACCTGGAATATGACCTTTGGGCACAGGGTTATGCATTGTGGTGCCTTCCAGACCTGAGATTGCTGGGCATTCCCTGTCTTACTCCTTTAGGGTTTGTAGGATGGTTGGAAGATGTCCCTCCGGTATGAATTTTCCTGCTTTATGTGAACTGCCCTTTTCGACCTCCTCCTCATGTCTGGGAGCCTAAACTTCTGAGTGAAATCTTCAGGTCCCTGACAGGGGATGGGGCGATTCCCTTCCCCCCCACCCTGGGAGGAACTTTCCAATGGGTGTATCCTCCCGCTTGGGTCTTCTGTCTGGTTCCCCAGAATAGGGAGTTCCCCACTGGGGGTTCCTTCTGTTAGCTTGTATTCTGATCGCCATTGGACATTCTCTCAGCACTGCAAGGCTTTCACCTCTAGAAAAGTTTTGGAACTCTCCCTGTGACAGGTTGAGTGACCTGGTCCCTAAGCCAAATGTGTCATTCCTTACCTCAGTGTCTCAGTGGAGACAAGGCATCACCTTCTAGAGCCCCCAACAGAAAGTGGTGTAATTCTGGAAGCCTTCGTGGGCACTGTTCACCGGGAGTTACCGTGGAGAAAATAAATTAATTTGATCCCTTGCAGATTTTGTAAGTTTGCCCAATTACGAAGAAATTAAGGGTCTATAATTATTATCATAGGTGTATTTTAAATGCTAGAGACAGAATATCAACAAAAAATCCAGAAAAAAAAAAAAAAAACACGATACAAATGTTATAAATTGAGTTGCAGTTCAGTGAGTAAAATAAGCAGTTGATCCCCAAGCAAAATATGACTTAGTACTTGGTAGAGAAACCCTTGTTGGGAAGCAGAGAGGTAACATTTCTTGTAGTTACCAAATTTGCTCACATCTTAGGAGGGATTTGGTACACTTTCTTTACAGATCTTCTCTAAATCCTTAAGGTTTCTTGGCTGTTGCTTGGCAACTCGAAGTTTCAGCTGATACATTTTCTATAAGATTAATGTCTGGAGACTGGCTAGGCCACTTCATGACCTTAATGTGCTTCTTCTTGAGCCACTCCTTTGTTGCCTTGGCAGTATGTTTTGGGTCATTGTCATGCTGAAAGACCCATCCACGATCCATCTTCAGTGTTCTGGCTGAGGGAAAAAGGTTCTCATCCAAGATTTTACAATACATGGCCCCATCCATTGGCCCTTTAAGGTACCTTTGTACCTGTAGCAGAGAAACAGCCCCAAAGCCCCATAAGGTTTCCAACTCTGTTCTTGATTGTAGGGATAGTGTTCTTAGGGTCATAGTCAGCATTTTTCTTCCTCCAAACACAGTGAGTTCTCATAGGACTACAGCACTTTCTCCCAATCCTTCTATAAATCATTTAGATGTTCATTGGCAAACTTCAGACAGGCCTGAACATGTGCCTTCTTGAGGAGGGGGACCTTGCAGGTGCTGCAGGATTTCAATCCTTGGCGGCATATTGCGTTACTAATGGTTTAATTGGTGACTGTGGTCCTAACTGCTCCTCAAAAGTAGTTCCAGGCTGATTCTTCATTTTTCTCATGAGCATCTAAGGATCATGAGGCGAAATATTGCATGGAGCTCCAGACCAAGGGCGATTGATGGTTATTTTGTATTTCTTCCATTTGCGAATAAATCGCTCCAACAGTTGTCTCCTTCTCACCAAGCTTCTTGCTGATGGTCCTGTAGCCCATTCCAGCCTTGTGCAGGTCTACAATCTTGTCCCTGATGTCTTTTGACAGCTCTTTGGTCTTGCCAATGACGGCGGGGAAGAATGAGATTCTGTGGACAGGTATCTTTTATACACATAATGAGTTGTTGTTAGGAGCACCTTCCTAAATTGACAGGACTGATCTATTTACCACATGAGCACATAGCCAGTATGTGGGAGCCAGAATTATTGTTGGCTGGTAAGGGATCAAATACTTATTTTACTCACTGCACTGCAACTCAATTTATAACTTTTGTACTATGTGTGTTTCTGGATTGTTTGATATTCTGTCTCTATCATTTAAAATACACCTATGATAGAAAATTATAGACCCTTCATTTCTTTATAAGTGGGCAAACTTACAAAATCTGCAGGGGATCAAATAATTATTTTCCCCACTGTAGGTAAACTGCACCTGGACCTAGTTGAACTATTGCAGCTGAACTGCAACCTTCTGAGGAAGCCTCCTTAGATTCTTTCTTCCTTCCTGTCCCCAAGAAGGTGGCTGTTAATAGTAATATGACTGAGGTTCCAACTCCTTGCTCATCGAATGAACATGTTGCACTGCATTAGAGTAGGTTGTAGATTTCCTATAATCATGTCATTGGTACTTGGTTAGGCAGGTATGCAGCGTTGTCTATCAAACCCAGGAACAGTCCCAGGTGTTTTGTTGGAAAGTATCCTGTTTATCCTTTCAGTATACCTTGTGGAAGAAGGTGGTCTAAATTAGGGAAGGATTCCAGGCACCCTTTTGTACAGGTGTCGCTTGCTCACCCTAATCCCCCTTCTTTAGATGGGCTCAGGGTTTTTTCCGACTATTCTTGGAATTTTCACAACCATTGATATCTCACTGCAAGATTGGTTGTCTGATCTACCAACTCCCTTCCTAAAAATATTTAGTTAGTAGTAGTTTTCCACCTGTTTTTGGAGGATTGCTAGTTGGTTCTCCAGTCTCTTGCTGGTGAAGGCTCATTATTCCTATAGAGAGAAGTTTCCCCTCGCTGGTGATTTTCTGATATGGTCTACAGCATCAGGATGATCCCCTGTGTCCTTCCCTTATTTGTGACACTTCACCTGCCATTTGAGAGCTTCATCTAGCCTTGATTGGACGTTGATCCTTCAGATACTGCTAAAAAGCTGATGGTTCCAAAAATTGTCATCAGTGGCTGTTGCCCACCCCTCAGGATAGACTGCTTTTGGACATCCCAACTGTTGCTAAATTTTTGTGTTCTTCAATGGATAAATGGAGAAAATAGGATTTTTGGACTTATCGTAAAATTTTTTACCTTGAGTCCAGTGAGGAACACAATTTCTGCTGTGATCCCAGTTACATATCAAACCTTTGCATATTATTGCTACTTGTAGGAATGTGGACAGTTGTGCATTATATGCCATGGCTAGGATTATCGCCAGGTGTTTCCAGACCATTTATTTTCCTGTCAGCTCCTGACCCCATACTCAGCCTAGAGATCATGTGGACTGCCTGTCATCCTTTTTTTTTTTATTATTCAGGATTATCAACTGCCCTGCATTAGTAATGGGTGATTTAACTCTACATCTGAATTCAATACATAGCAGTTATCGTGGACCTGCACCTCCCAAAACTGATTGGTAGAACACTAGCTGGTGAGTCAACCTCTCTTCCAGTTATTTATATTCCTCACGGGATTCATTGAGAGTTTTTTTTTTTCTGAAGTAGCTCCATTAAAGTAGCATGAAAGCATCATTCTACTTATAAATCTTTGCTGTAATCAGACAGAACTGAGGATTCTGATGGGAATATCTTTTTGCTGAAGTGTTCTAAAAAGGTTCCATTTTTTTTTTAACTTACCAACACCTAGAAAATATGAAATTTTAGTTTCGAGTGGAGTTGGACACTTACATTTGTTGCTCTATCTACTGAATTATCACATCAGCTACTCCAGTTTAGTTGTAGTGCAAGTGAGCAGAAAAGCTGGCTATGTGCTAGGTCTTTTGACCTCCTTGGCCCCTTTTATATGAATCTACAAGATTAATCCACAGCTTATTCCTGCTATTGTTTTGCTTCAAGATAAGCTGAGATCCCTCTTTATTTCCTTCTCCTTCTTCCATACAGTGTCTGAGATAGATATCTTCTCCCTCCTGCCTCTTCCACAGGGTGCCTGGGATACCCTCCTTCTTCCTCCTGCCTCTTCCATACCTGGCATACCCCACTTCTTTCTCCCTTCCATAGGATGCCTGAGATACTCTCTTTTGTCCCCCTACATGCCCCTTCCACAGGTTGCCTGGGAAATCCTCTTTATGCCTCCTTCCAAAATGTGCCTGAGATACCCATCCTCCCCCTATAGCCCACTCCACAGGGTGCCTGGAATACATCCTTCCTTCACCCTCCCGATTTCACAGAGTACCTGGCATACCCTCTTTCTTCCCCCTGCCTCTTCCACAGGGTACCTGGCATTACCTCTTTCTTTCACCCTCCTTCCTCCACTGGATGATGAGGATTGGTATAGCAAGTCAGGACATTACATTGGTATATGTAAATGTAATGTCCTGACTTGTACTTTATGGTTAGGACTTATTTCTGAAATGGGTAAGTCATTCTACATGCACATTTTACTCGCTCAATACAGTTTATTATATGGGAAGACGAGTGCCGCTATACCAATCCTCAGCCAGTTGCATCTGTGCCGGGAAAACAGACAGAGCCAGAGCACTGGCATTCCACCTTCATGGGCATTATCTCTGAGTGTAGCACCTACTTATTCCTCCGCAGTATGATTGGGATACCTTCCCTCTCCCCCCTCCCTCACACCCCCTCCCTCCAGCCTCATCCACGGGTACCTGGTACATCCTTCTTTCACCCTCCCTCTTCCACAGGGTGCCTGGGATACCCTCTTAATTTACCCCTTTTCTCTCACAGCATGCCTGGAATACTGTAAGTTTCCAAAGGGTACCTGGGGTACCTTTTTTCCCTGTTTCCTCTTCCCCTGGCTGTCTGGAATACCATCCCTCTTCCCAAACTCTCTCTTTCACAGTGTGCCTGAAATGCCCTCTCTCTCCCTCCTCCTTTTAGAGGGTGCCTGGGATTCCATCAATCCTTCTCTCTCCCTCATTCTTGGAGTACTATCCTTTTTACCTTTGCTTCTCTTCCACACAGTTTCTGGGATACCCTCCTCCTTTACACTGCCTCTTCTACAGGTATATCAATCACTTTTGGTTGCTATACAATGTCTACAGGCCCCTTTAACCCATGTATCTGTCGCTGCTCCCTTTTAATGTCACCCATGACCCTCTCATGTTCTGTCATCTTACCTTTAAGTTCCTATGAATAATGTGAAGATTGTGCAGATAAGCCACAGCCTCAAGGACCTGGCGTATCACATTACTGGCATCTTTCTCAGAGTAATATCCTTGCTCCAGGATCCAGTCAAAGACATCACCTCCTGTGGCTCTACAAGATAAATTGTGATACCCGAAGTCACCAAGGCACCAAGTCTGTCTGTTTAGATCACAACTCAGGCACTGAGCAATGCTTCCAGTCACAACACTCTCGGAGGGGTTGACATTTAGACAGAATGGCATATGGAAAAAGTCTCCCTAAATACCTAGAGGAAACCCACACAGATAAATGCCTTTGGCAGATACAGTCAACAGTAAGAAATGAACCCAAGACCTCTCTGTGTTACAAGATGACAGCAATAGCCACTGTCATACACACTATAATTTTTATTAGTTTGCCTGTGCATGGTCTAAAAGTTTATATCTAAAAACATTTTGACCACACTATATCCAATATTCGCAACTTTGTGAAAAGAGGGATAGCATTTTGCGCAAAGCATGTAGGTAATGGGCACACTCCCAGTTACATGACAATAAAAATTCATACAAAAACAAAGATTGGTGCAACCAACAAGAGCTTTTTCTAAACACTACTTTTTCTTTATATTGGCTTTTCCAAATAATAAATGGAAACATTTAGATGTTTTGGTGCAGTATAATACTCTTGGCTGGTAAACACTGTATACATCTATACATGGAAAGAGATTTGGTTCTAGAACAGAGTGAGTTTCTCCAAATATGGGACAGTTGCAGCCTATGCATACCTGTTAAAACCCCTATTAAAATAAATTGGAATTGTCTTGCCATTTGCTTCTTTAAATTGATCTTAAAAATGGATTGTGTATGATTGAAAAAGACTGTTTTGATTTTCTTAGATTCAATCCAAATAAAGGAGAAGTTCACCATTTTACCTTTGCAGGTAAAAAAAATGTGCTTTTATTTATTATTTTTTGCTGAAGGAGCCTGGAAAGCATTGCACCAGCAGATCACTGGTGCCATGCAGGACGGCTGCAGACCTGTCAGTATATCTGCTTGCCCATACATCCCGTACCAGCAAGCCGATACACTCTGAGAGGAAGAATCAAACTACCACAGCACCTTGGTAGCTCATTTAGAAGTACAAGCCGGCAGCTGCTAAGGCTGACGGGACTTGTAGTTTAATCTTCACAGAATACTGTGAATTAGCGATGCAGCCGTGTGGGAGGAGCCCCACACAGCCGCGTTTATTGTAATGTTTGACTAGCTAGCGAGAGAAAAAGATCCCCCCACTAGCTGTCAAAGCAGGGGATCGGGGGGTGCAGAGACCCATCCTTTCATAACATGTCAGACCCTGAAAATGGGGTGTAACATGTAACTTGTTGAAGGGTGAATTTATGGATTAATCCTTTCGCTGCCATGGCTGTTTTTGCATTTTTTTGCACACGTTTAAAAAATAATTTTAGGCCTGAAGATTACACAAAACCCTCAAAACAGTGTTTATTTTCTGAAAGAATAAAATAGTGGTAGTTACAATCTTTTATGTTACACAATATTACTGCAAAGGTCTCGGAAAAGCAAAATTTCAGTAAAAACACAAAGTCCTATGCGTGTTGATTTTTAGGTAACAGGTTCACTTTATTGAGACATGCAGGGTCTAAAAGACCCTGCATGTCTCCTCTGGCCTCCATTCAATGTGTTGTAATGCAGGCCGCATTGCAATACATTGTTTCTCTGTGCTAGTCGAGAAAGTGACAGCCGTGAACCGGAAATGACGTCACACATATTGCCAAGTCATAGAAAGAAGGGGAGGAGAGCGGACGTTCATCCGCTTTCCTCTCTTTCTTCTATCCACCAGCACCCACCATGGTACTCCCCAGGTCCACAGATGGGCAAGTGGGGCCTGGATACATGACAGGAGCATGCACTGGAGGGGGTGGGGTTGGGGTGCCGAGGGCTGTGGAAGCGACAGTCACCCGCCTGCTTCCATTTGACAGGCAGGAGTCTGTCAGTGTTATACACAATCATGGTGGCTGCAGGATTGTCTATAAAACCCCCCGCTGTCAGGACTGCTGTATTTTTACAGTGTTTGCGGTGCATTTCTTACAGGTCATGTTATTAAAAAACCGCACTAAAAACACAACATGGGAGTGTTTTGATGCATTTTTGCATTTGATTTCAGTGGGGATGTGCATTTTTGGTGCATTTTTTTTAAAGCACCAAATGTCCACAAAAAATGCAGAAAGCAGGATGTTCAAAAACTAACTGGACCCACAACAGCTCAGTGTGAAGAGTTCCATAGGAATACATGGTCACATGGTTTGGTTTCGCCTTTTGTAACGAAAAAACGGAAGAAAAACAGATCAGTATGAAAGCAGCTGAAGGATGGCCATACATAATAATTTTCTTATTCAGTTTTCCTTTTGGAATTCCTCCTATTATATGGTTTTGGCAAATCTAAACACTTTCAATACATATGCAATCAGGCAGGACCTTGCACTACATAGTTGCAGGTAAATCTAAAAGGAATTGAACAATGGCCAGCTTAAGATAGAAGTGTTTATACTCACCTATATGGCTGGAGCATTGATCTGCTGCTGCAGCTGCCTCCCGCCAGTTCTAACTCTGAGAACTTAATCAAATGACCGCTGATCTCTCAGTTCTCAGTGAGCAGAAAACGGTGACTGTCAGATACTCTCTGCTCTGCCCCTCCAACCCTCACTGGATTGCCAGGCAGGAGAGCGGGCAGGGAGTGGCTGGATCTGGCTCTTGGTGGCGCGCTGAGGCCAGCTGCCAGTCAGACATCTGAGTGGATCCCAACATTATTGTCGGGATCACTGCAGAGCCTGCCTGTGACGCTTTAGCCCACTGTTGGCTGAATCTGGATCACAGGAGTGCATAACTAAGTGCACTCCCGTGACCCACAGGAGAAGTATGGCCAAACAAGCTTTGGCCGCACTCCTCCTTCTTCTAAAACTTGTCATACATGTGGCAACTTGAAAGAAATTTTGACTGACCAGCATTTAAACATTCATTTGAAAGTGTTTTCATGAAAACAATCTACCGCCCGCATATTCAATTAATCACCTGATTTTGATTGCCCAAACTGGGTTATCAATTGACAACTTGTCTGTAATCAAGGCAATTTGATCCTATCGCTTTCTGGCTGATCAAAACCACCAATTACTGCATATGATAGCTAAGGATTTCAATTCCAACTCGATAGAAAGTGGTTAAATTGTGGGAAAGTTGCCAGGTGAAGGACCCATTTAACAAGAGTCTCCTTTTCACACAAGCAGGTGATCAAATATATTTTTGATTGCAGCTGCCTATAATCATTCACTAAGATCTGTTGGGATCTTTGCAGGGATTGCAGCGTTTTGCCAAATGACCACGATCAATTATGCAGAAGAAAGCACCGTGCTCAGCTAATGACAGTGGAAATCTGCACTCAATCACAGAATATTTTTAGTTGCATAACTGCAAATCTCCCGTGGAGTTTGACCCTAATCTCTATTCTCCTGTTCTTTGTCTACGCACAGCAGCACAGGTCCGGTATATTCTTAGCAACGTGAACTTACAGTTCTTGAATAATATAGAATTCCTTCTTGGTTTCAAATGTATCGATTAGCTGCAAGATGTTGGGATGATTCACCCTGGACAAGAAAAGAGAGGTATAAAACAAATACAGTGTGAAAGGCTGAGAAAACAAGGGGTTACAAGGAAGCAGAACAGAGAATACGCTTTACATTGAAGTAAAATGAAATACAGACTGTGCCATAGCGGATTTCTTTCAGAAAAAAAATTGTTGCCTGGCTGTCTTTAGCTTGAGCCTGGGTTCACATATGTGCAGTATATCGCATGTGATTTGCTCAGGAACTGCACTACATTTCTGTGCAAATCGCATGCGATTTGTGTGTGGTGCGATCGGACCCATACATTTTGTATGGCTCTAATCGCACCACACCAAAAAAGTGCATGACCATTTTTTTCACACCCATGCGATCCGATTCTGCACATTGCACCGCGTTTTGCGGACCGCTTTCGGGTGTTAACCTAACATACACACCCGCAGCAGTTTGCATGAACGGGGTGCGAATCTGATGCGGTGCAGAATTCGCACTGAAATCGCTGCAAATTCCGCACCGCATCAGTGTGAACCCGGGCTTAAAATTGAGATACTGGCCCGAAACAAAAATGCAGATCAGGCAACTCAAATGAAGCCAAAATTTCCTTATCTCCTTATTTTTTCTGAGCTAGTAATTTAGAAGGCTCTGAAGCCTTGGGACCAGCATGACAGGTGGAAAAAAAAAATGCATTTTCAGAAGGTCGGAAGTAGCAGCCTCTACTGTATATTTCCTTTAGAACAGATTTAAGTTAAAGTAGACGTTCACCCAAAACCTAACTAACTCTGAACCTAGTCGCAGCCACATTCTAAAACTAATCTATCTAGTAAAGTAAAGTATCTGTAAAGAAGAATATGCTAGATTTACCTATTCTGCTCCGGTCCAGTCCCACGCTGAGCTGTTAGCGGCAGCTTCATTGTGTAGACGTGTAAATCAGATACAAGGGGGTGCCAATCTCAGAGTAGAGCGTAAAATATTTATTGGTAACAAGAGGTTAAAAACTACTCACAAACGTAAGAAGTATAATAGCATGGTAAAGAAATGCCTTTGGTAAGCCCTCAGTCTGCCAGTGATGTGAAGATGGATCCTGGTTATGCAGCATGGGCAGAGATGCAGCCGTCAGTATTCAGCAATGCAGGGAGTTTTTGAAAATGGCACAGAAACCAGCATGGACCGCAAGGAAGTCGGGACCTCGGCGGGAGACCAATGGTAGGGCAAGAACAGGGTTAGGTGACACGTTTCGAAGCACTTGCATCTTCTTCAGAGGTTTGAAGAAGCAAGTGCTTCGAAACTCGTCACCTGACCCTGTTCCTGCCCTGCCATTGGTTGTCCGCCGAGGTCCTGATCCCATAGCATGTTTATGGGTGGCGTCACTTCACAGCCGTTGTCAGTTCTCTCCTGTACACAGCATCTGCCGCTGGAGACTAGATCGGATCGGGTTCAGAAGAGGTGTGCATACCGATTTCTTCTTTACAGGGCTAGATAGATTAGTTTTAGAATGTGGTTGCGAGTAGGTTTAGCGTTACTTAGGTTTTGGGTGAACTTCCACTTTAAGCTCCTGAGTTCCCTCATGTGACCTAAAGTCTAGGCAATGATCACATGGTCTCTGACTATCAGAAGCATTAGTGGTAATTCCATTTGGTAGAGACTGCAGAATGTCCACAGATTTCTTCCAGGGAGACTATGATTTAGACCAAAATCGGAGGATCGTCAAGGCAAACCATTGTGCAGTGCTGCTCAGCAGAAAACAAAACCTGGATATAGAAAAAGCAAGCATGTCTGCCCTTGTGTGCATTTATAGTTACACATTATACATAGAAACAAGGTTTTAATACATTTACACACACCGATAGATTTATTACCATGAATCTGGCCTCTTCAACATACGTGAAAAGGCTATACTTTTTTCTTTTAAAGTGGTTGTAACCTCTGAAATGAAAATTAATAAAGCATATCCTTCTATAGTTTGTATGTGTCTCTATCCAAAGTACCCAGTGCGATTTCTGTCTGCTCTCTCATTCTTCTGCTATCTGCATGAGTCACTTCTGACCAGACGATCCGGTGGGATGGCCCCACCCCCTCTCCAGCGCACAGCAGGTAATTGACAACCTCAGCTGTACGTTTCCCTATGATACTCTGTAGAGAGAGGTGTGTCCTTTCCCTCCACTCAGGTCTCAGAATACACTCAGCGCAGTACACTGTGTGACATCAGATCCCCAAACCATGCCTCTGGAAGCTCAGAAATGCTGTCTAAATTCTGTTCTTTGAAGGCCCCAAAAATGAGGGCTACACAGGTACAACTTATGTAGGAGGATTTGTTTAATCTCTGTGTATCACCTGAAGCTAGTCACTTCAGTGGGTATATGAAGGGGTGTACAAAGAACCTGCACTATTAAAACACTTTGACCCCTTTAAAAAAAAAAATCTACGCTGGTCTTCACCATATTGAAAACAATGTTGTGAAAGTGGCATTTTAGCCTTTTACCTGACATAAAAATGAGCAGAGTGGTCCCCAGAGCTACTGCCCTACTTGGAAGATACTGCCGTGGACACTGCTATTTTTGTTCCTACTTGGTCATCAGTCAGAGCTAGTCCATTCCAACATGTGCTACATGGACACATCCTTCAAGGATCAAAATACAGGCGTCCCTCAGTTTACCAACGCCTCGGTTAACATAATTTTCGTTTTACGAATGAAAATCCATTGAATATAATGCCTCGGTTTATTAATTTTCGCAACACGAACGGATGAATCGGTTTTCAATGCATTTACACATTTTTTTTAATCATGTCCCTGTACAGTACTATGCCTTTAAAGTGCACTTTATAAAGAGTTTTGAACAGATAAGACTAACTTTTTTTTTGACCTCCTGAACGGATTAATTGGTTTTCAATGCATTTCCGAATTAATAGGCATTAACAGCAAGGCTCTTACTTTCCATTCATCATACATCAGCATCAGAGGTTGGTCATCAGCTCTGAGGAAAGGGATTCGTCCCCGAAATGCGTCAGCCATTTGACCGCACTGACAGTGAGAACACCTTGCCTGCCGTTGTGGCCATTGTCATTTTTCTATGCTTTTTAGATACATGCTTCGTCTGTGAGTATGTTTTTATTATTCTTTCACTCCTACAATAAACCTTGGATAATGCACTAGGTGTGTGCGCCACCTGTTTTCTCTCTATGGGAAAATGCGTTTCGGTTTACAAATTTTTCACAAAACAAAAAGTCCTGCAGAATGAATTAAATTTGTGAACCGAGGTACACCTGGCCTTGACAGCTTGTGGGAACCTACAAGAGTGCTGTTCCATAGGCAGCTGTACAGATCAAAGGGGTATGGTAACCTGCTGACATGCATGGAAGGTCAAAATTCGCATGTGAAATGAAGTGCGGTTTTGGGGATATAGCAGATGCAGGAAAATGGTGAACATATGGTTACGGTTTCTATCCATGTAGATTCTTTCTATATTTTCTGCAGACACTTGCTGAAGGCCCTGCACTGTGCCTGCGGTGTTATACCAAAATAGACATCTCTACGTCTCTGGCTAGTTCAGGACTGTCAGACAAGGATCTGCTGGGGAAATCATAGCTAAAGTGATTCTGGGGATGTCTTTATTCTGTAGCTGCTCTATACACCCCACTGCACGATGGTGATCAGGCATCAAGCAGAATCTCGGCCACCCTACAAGCAGAAGGAGAGAAAACTTGTTTCTGCTTTGTGTTCTACACCAATGTGATTTTAACGTAAAGCTGAAATCCACGCAGATGAAAAGATACCATTTAATGATTTTGTATATTCATGTAAAATAACTAGATTTTTACATACAAATAGCATAAGTAACTTAATATGTTTATATATCAGGCCCCTGTCCTCCACTGCACAATAGACTGGGAGATGAGGGCCAGCATGTACAAGGAACCAATCTGATTCTGCTGTATGCATATATCATAACTGAACCATGCTGGCAGAAGAAGAGAGCAGAATGAGCAGACAAGGTGATTATGAGTGTTCAAAGTGGTTGTAAACCACAGATATGAAATATAAACAAAGTATATCCCTCTTAAGTGTGTACTTATCTCAATTAAGAGCAATAAGTGTCATTTCTGTCTGCTGCCCCTTCCCCTGCTATCTGCATGACCCATTTCTGACAAGTTTTCCTGGACCCAGGGAAAAAAAAAAAAAAAAAAAAAGGGTGATGGGAGGGAGATCCAGCATACAGCCTGTGATTGACAGCCTCAGATGTGTGGTGCATGAAGGGGGTGTGTGTGTATCTTCCCTCCAATCAGCTCTTAGAACTCCTCACTGAGCACTGCAGTGTGTAATTTCAACTCTCTGCCCAGTTTTCTGGCAGCTCAGACAAGCTTTAGGAATTCTGGACTTTGAATGTCTATAGAAAAAGAGATAAACAGGTACAACTTATATAGGATGATTTGTTTAATTTTTGTGCATTACTTGAGACCAATCACCTCACTGGGTTTACAACCACTTTAATTCTAGATAAAGTGGTGTCTCACCCTGTTGGCTGCCAGTGGTGCATCAATCACAAAAATGGCTGAACAGAAATATAATCCTTTGGCAGACAGTTCACATATGTGGAGTTCAGTATTTAAGGACAAAATGTAGTACATGTGATATGGGGTGTTGCTATATAGTTTCTCATTCTTCTCTTAGGCTCTATTGCATTCTGACCCAAACATGTTTCAGGTTCTTGGAGCTGGAATAGGATGGTGTTAAGGCAGACTGTAAGCCTGGGTTCACACTGATGCGGTGCGGAATTTGCACCGGTTTCTGTGTGATTTCAGCACCGCATTATAATCGCACCCTGTTCACACGAACCACTGCGGGTGTGTATTTTAAGTTACCGACACCCTGAAATCTGTGCAATGTGCAGAATCGGATCGCATTGGTGTGAGGACTAAAAAAAAGGGTCCTGCACTTTTTTGGTGCAGATGCAGTGCAATTTGAGCCAAAACAAAATGTATGGCTCAAATTGCACCGCACAGAAATCACATGTGATTTGCACAGGAAT